GTATTGGTGTGAGGGGGGGAAGAGAGGTGTGTATTATTGGTGTGAGGGGAGGGGGGGAGGTGTGTATTATTGGTGTGAGGGGGGAGATATGTATTGGTGTGAGGGGGGAAGGTCTGTATTGGTGTGTGTGTGTGGGGGGGGAAGAAACGTCCCCACTCCCCCGGTATCGGGGGTATCGGCGGCTGGAAGTCCGGATGGGCCCCTAACAACCCCCCTAACTGCCCGTTACAGAGATTGTGTATGTATGTATGTATGTATGTATGTATGTATGTATGTATGTATGTATGTATGTATGTATGTATGCTTCTGCATATGTGTTTTTCAGGTACACTCGGCTGGCTTTTGTGGTGGGGCTTATGTGCGTCATCGTAACTGCCGTGATCAATGCCGTACTTGTGCCCGTGGTCAACGCTCACGTGATGCCCACTTGGGAGCAACGGGCGGCGGTTATACTGCAACGAGATGTGGGTATGGTTGACGTACAATTGACGTACATACACATATAAACGTATAGGTGCACAGGAGCTGTGCCGTATAGGGGAGGGAGGATTTTAAAAGGACTCTGCTGCATGTCAAATGCCACACGTCATCTGCCCTGCACTCGCACCCTTCCCCTTCCCCCGGACTCCTTTTGCGTGTGTGTGTGTGTGTGTGTGATTCCCCTCCCTCTCCCTCCCCCCCTCCCCACCACCCCCTTCCTCCCCCCCACCGCTTCCTCCAGGTCTCCCTGGGTCGCATCCGCTGGGTTGGACTGGGGGGTGTGACCGGTGTGGTTCCGTTAATTCGGCTGGGCCCGGTAACGGTTGGGCCGCAATGGGGGGGTGCCGAGCGCTCCCATGCCGTACTGCCCGCCGTGTCGCTGTACCTGGAGCCCCTGACCGGTTCTGTGTACAGACAGGCCGTATTGAGGATGCACCTGGAGGCCCCAGACGTGAGTGCGAGTATGTATGTATGTATGTATGTGTATGGGGGGATCGAGTTGGGAGAGAGAGGGGGAGAGAGAGCTGCAGTGCTTTTCAGAGGTGGCAGGGGCAGTCAGGCCGCGGGGGGGGGTGAGGGGTGGTTGTCAATAGGTGTCGGTGTATTCACCGCCTGTATGGGGCCGCGTCATATGGGGGGGAGGGGGGGGGCGAAAGACGAACCACGTGAACGAGTGAAGCTGCTGCCAGGGCAAAAGTGTACCAGAAGTAGAACTGACCAAAAGGCGTTCTTGAAGGCGGCGACTTCGGGATGATGTAATGAAGATGATGTCGGAAAAAACTACCTACCCACCTAGCCGCCAAGACTAAAATAAGCGCAGAAGAAAAGCAGTAAACCCAAAGTAGAACTGACCGGAGGGGGGCCCGCGGCAGGCGAGTAGTCCCCGCTCGTCTGTCGGCTTGAGAGCGGGGTAGCGGGGGGGGGGGCACTGACTGACTGACAGACTGACTGACTGACGGGTGGCGCAGTTGCTGGTAACTTCCTTCTTTCCTTTCAGTTGATGATGCATTACCGAACTTGTACCGTACATACACACATACATACACACATACACACACAGGTAACGGTGGTCCAGGGCCCCAACTTCTCCTGGTTTGGCTACCCCGAGGACACCCCCGATAACGCCCGCAACTTCGTACCCGGGCTGGGATCGGAGGAGGAGCTGGCGCTGCGGGATGGCCGTACGACGACGCTGTCGTACGGACCACCGCCGCCGCCGCCGCCGTCTGCGGAGTTGATGCCGCACCAGTCACGCCAGCCGCATCAGTCACCGCCCTCGCAACCGGCAAGGGAAGGCACGGCGACGCCGCCGCCGGGTTCCGGAACTGTACGGCAGAGTACGGCAGATACAGTTGGCCTGAGGGGTTCTGGTTTATCTAATGGAGAGCTCGCGAACCAGGGCCCGGGCCGGGGCCCGACGGTGCCGCCGCTGGCGGCGCTCGTACACTCGCCCTTCCCAACCGCTCCGCTGCAGCCGCCGCCGTCGCCGTCGCTGACCCGCGAGGCTGCGTCGACGGGCAACCACGCCGCTGCCACCATCAGCGCCGCTGGCGGCGCCGGCACTTCTTCCGTACGTCCTGTGCAGCAGCTACCGCAGCAGCAGCAGGACCTCATGCAAGTGATGCTTGAGGCGCAGCGGCGGCTCCAGCGGCACGTGTGTGAGCAGCTGCTACAGCTTCCGGTAGTGGACTGGGTGCTACAGCCCTTCACGCAAAGTACGGCACGACAAGGCGGGCCCGCCGCCGCTGGCGTGAGGGGGCCCGACGATGATGGCTCCGCCGCCGCCGCCGCTGACGGCGCTGGCGGCAGCGTCGGCGCCCTGTCCGCCGCCGACGTGCCCCGCCATCTGACCCATGGGTTGGCCAGTACCAGTACCAGCAGCGGAGTACGGCAAGATCAATACCATTGTCATCATCATCATCATGGATATCGACATCGCCGTCCACATCCACATCATACCCCCGGCCGGCAGGGGCATGGACATGAAAGTTCCCGCCAAAACACACCATCGCGATGTGCATCCACACATATCGGAGTCCATCAGTCGGAATCCACAAATTCAAACATCTCCGTCAATAACACCACCACCACCACCACCGCAGCTATAGCTACAGCCACAGCACCAGCTGAGCCAGTGAGTAGCGGTGGAGAAGGTGTACGGGAACCTGTCGTACCTTCCACACAACAGTACGGCATAACTCCGTTGTCTGAACTACATGCCGGCGCCGCCGCCGGAAGGCGCCGCGCTGTTGGTGGCGGTTCCAGCGGCCAGCCGCCACCTCCGCTGGCCAGCGTCAGCGGCGCCGCCGGCGCCGTCAGGACGCTGCTGCGGGGCGGCGGCGGCGGCGG